TATTTTGTATTGATCACCAACATAGCAGCCTTGCCAGATGATATGGTTGCAAACCATTTATTAATTTTTATTGTAATGTTCTGATGAAAAGGTTTCCTTTTAAGTATTTGGAGGTAATTTTCGTACGCTATCTGGTAATAGAGTGGTAATAAGTAGTATTAAATTTGTTCTCACATCTGTCAGTTCTGACGAGCCAACCCAAAGAACGTCCACCATCAGTAAAACAACAATCCCCAACAACAAGCGTCGTCTCCGCCTAACACTCTCATCCTGTGACACAATACACTGCACTGTTGAAGTCCACATCGAACGGAAGCAGTTACAAAGACGACTGCTACTTGTAGAAGACATCTTTAGTTTTTGTAAAACTAAAGCAAGCTTACACTGGCTTTCGCTGTGATTTAACCCACACACGAAGATGTTTCGTCTGATGGTACCATGACACTGTATAAAGACAAAAATGAGTTGAGTACAAAAACACCATATTATTATGACCGCGATTATAGGAAAAACGCTTTCCTGAAGAATCAAAATCTAAAAATAAAAAATACAACTGACCTTCTCGTGACATGGCCGCCATCTTGGATTACCGTTGTTAAACGTGGGCTCATTTCACAGGCTTCCCAAGCTTTATCATTTTGATTTTCCATATTTTCCCTCTCTGTTTTTATTCAATGCTCAAGCACCCACAAGAACAGCGAGTAATAACGCCCAGAGAAAGAGAAATACTCAGGGGCAAGTTTCAACAGCTAGCACGACAACGCAACACCCAAAAATGTATTGAACACAGGCTCCTTACATTATGCAATCAAATGATCAAAAAAAAATAATTCGAAATAATGCGCAACGTTTCACGTTTACTTTATTGATTTTATACAAGTGCAACCGATACTACTACTACTCAATAGCTGAGCATTTTCACTCTCTTTTAACTTAACGATAGCATTTTTCTTAGCATAAAATAGGGATGGCGAAAGAAAACAAAGTTTAGTCTTTAAGGGAATTTATTATTCTATGAAGATCTCCACCAAACCTACCCTGCGAGCAGAGTCTCCTTCGATCTTCCTAGGAGACTCTGCTCATAGGGTACATCCAACCTTTTGGCAATTGAGAATATCTCCACGGCAAGCACCACTACCTCGAGGCAAAAGCGCGCTTTCACCTCCTTTATTGCAACGTAAACTGACAGGTGCCGATGTTGTTAAAATGACGTAACATTTCAAGAAAACTTTTCGCCACCCCCTTCATTATATTTGCAGGTATACACTATATGACTACATTGCGGAATATAACTTTTCACTTAGAAAATAACGGGAAACTTCCCCCACTGTCTCTGATACACTACACTACCTACTCAAACCTACGGCCTAGTTTTGCGCTTCCGCAAAAATAACGCTAGGCGATTTTCTAGCGTTACATCTAAAAGAAATAGACTGTACAGTAAATCCATTCGACTTAGACTAAAACAATGATTTTCCTCTCACACGGTAAAGAACGGGCGAACATTACCAAGGCTCTTATAGCGACAATGCTGCAAAATTATATTTATTGAAGGTATTTGCATGTGCGGCATTTAACTGTACGAATATTTACGTCGCGGAAACTGGTAACAATATTTGGGGCCAGGTACCACTCCCTCTCCCTATGTAGGAAACTCACAACTACAGTAAGCGTAAACTTGTGTACTGGAGAATATGAACTATTTCCTCAAACTTTCAATAAAAACACTTGTATTAAGTAGACATCTCTTTCGAGCGGACATCCGAAATCTATTGAGGTCGGTATTCTCTTTATAGGCCTTTTAAACCCTCACATAAAAAAAACGTAGGTCCTCATTTGTTGTCTTTTGTACATTTCCCAAACGGATCAAGTGGGATCGAGAACGTTTAGGAATTCCAACTTGTCTGGTGTTGTTTTCATCGATTTCCCTCTGTTTTATGAAGCACTTACATTGAACAGAGAAATTTGATGCTGATTACTCTTAGCAGGAGCCTATAACTGACTCCTATCGGCTTAAGGTTTATATCATTATTCAAAAAGAAAAGTATTGAGTAAAATGGTAAAAATAATCCTCAAAACAAATTATAAACCTATCTAAGACCTAATGCAAAGTTAACGGCTACATATTTTAATTTACTAACATTTCTGTATAGAAACATTACTGCAAGAAGTGATGATTATCATTGAAGCTCAGTTGGAGTTTTTCTACTTGGATCTATTTTGATTCATAAAGTGGGAAGATCATTTTATGGAGTTTTTACAGCCTAGAAGTTGTACGTTCTTATATGAAAAATGTTTAGAAATTTTTGTGAATCTCGATATTGATCATCACTGCATCATCTTTGGAGTACTGTGGGCAACGAACCGTGTCGATGGGCGCAAACTTCTCGTAGCCATACAGGGTAGTGTATTGTCCGCTGGCAGAGGGTTTCTGAAAAGCTTCAAGATTTCTGTTGGCCATGAAAGTGCCACTGACATCGTTGCAGAGGCTGTGAGCATCATTGCTTTGATCCAACATGGAGAGGGAGATTCGTCCACAAAATGGCCATTTGAGCCTGTTATCAAAATCCCCCTTCATCATACCAACAAAAAGGGCAATGTGTCTTCCATCTCCACCATCAACGCCTTTTGGGTAGATACGCATGAAGAACTTGTATCCACACAAACTAGTGTAAATCGGAGGACTATCAAGTGATGTTTTTATTCCATCACTATCACCCTGGAGGAGCTGAGAGAAATGCTCTATAATCCAAGTATAATCTCCACCACAGATCTGACCTTTAGTTAACAAAGGCTCTGGTGGACTTGACCTGTAGAGAAAAATCGATTTTAGGATGATTATTTCATTTTTCGTAAAAGTCTGGTTGGTTTTGTAAGGGCGGTTTTTGAGTTGTGGCATAGGGAAAAGACCCCGGGGGGTACTTTAGGAATTTCTGGGTGGGGATGTGCCGCTGGGACCCTGGAACCCTTAACCTATACCAGAGCTAGTTCAGCTGAATTTTGCTACCCTATTCTAGAGTAAACTTCCCAAATCCCCCCTATCCTAGAGTAGCTGTTTACCTAGTCTAGATAAAATCTGCAACCAACTGATCAGTTTCCTGAAAAATGATACCCTATTCTAGACCCAAACGCTCTGATTTATATACCCTATCCTAGAATAAACTGCTTGAAAACCATACCCTTCACAGCTGCACATACCTATATAGCCCATATATGGCATTACCCCCTCCCCCCCGGGGAAAAAGACAAATTGGAAACAGTCGCTAACAAACTTGGATGCTATACTGGCTAAAAAAGTAAACTTTGACGCTTGTGCGATGTTTATGGAAGTCATTATGACCTGTAACTGCTGTAATTTCCGGATGTTTACTTAGAATTTCATGGCTTTCTTTAAAAGACCCTTTCAGCGTATTAATAAGTAACTAGGTAGCAAATAGCCTGCGAACGACAGACGTTTCTCCTCGCTCATCGCCGCTGAGGGACGTTTAATTTCGCGAGGAGGAAACGCGAAACGTTCCTCAGCGGCGATGAGCGAGGAAAAATGTCTGCCGTTCGCAGGCTAGGTAGCAAAAAGATCATAGAAATTAAACTGTCTATTAAACTACGTCATGATTTTTGCTATTCCTGCAAGCTCATTAGAGATGTAAAACCAACCACTGCGATTTCAATCAAGTCAAGGTGTAACATGACGCACTGCTTACCCGTGGCCAGAGGATCGGGAAAAATTTAAACTAGCCCTCGAATTAGTTCGATGGGATATGCGTTTGGCTTAATTTGAGGACGTATACTGACCTGTTCAAAGTCAGCTGTCGTGGATAACTGGATGCACGCATGCGTTCACCTCCTTGATTCTGCTCCGGAAATTGGCTGGTCTCCTCGACAGATCTAGGGCACCTGATTCCAGCGAACGACTCAGTTGGAACAGTCCGTCCTCGCCCGCAGTGCATCTGAGTTGCTGGTGGTCTAGCTTCGGACCAATCTCTGAACTGCATTCCTCTAGTTTGCTCCGCGTACTGCATCGGCTGTCTACCTCTTCGAGATCGAAACTGGTATAAGTGAACCTCCTGCATTGGATGAAAATTCATATTCTCAACAAGTATCTCTTTCAGACGGTCAGGGTATCTTGGTGGCACAACTGGCAATGGTGAGATCCCTTGGTGATCCATCAGCCCATTATAAATGCCTGCAGCGTTAGGTTGACCAATAAAAAGCTGTTGAGATCCATGTTCTGTCTGTTCTACATCATGAATGGGAAGATATACTCCTTCAATGGGTTGTTGACCACCGATCGCCTGCAAAAAGTGGAAATCATATTTTTAAACAAGCGTAGGAGATATTGTCACTTTCTTGTTAAAAGTTGTCTCTCAATGAATGCGTCGAAAAACAATTCTTGTGAGTCCCAGCATCCAACTATCACCGAAGCGGGTCCTGGCAGTCTAACTGTGCTGATGCCAAAACTTGAATATGTACTAAACAGATAAATTCAAAGCTGCAATTTTTTTTAAGTCACAACTTGCGATAGGATTTATGGGATATTGATTTCGGCAACATTCTTTATGGAAACATAGCCTGCGAAAACAGCCAGCGACGTGGAGCAAATGAAAACATGAACCGCAGAAAACTTCTCCAGTGCTAATGATAAAAAGTGATTTTATCTTTTCTAATATCGGGAGGTTTTGATATTGGGATACTGACAGGAACCTTTTGAGCTTGTGAATATCTACTTACCCCTTGCTCTATTGGCAATCTTGCTGAAGCAACTGCATGTCCTGCAACTTCATTATCTTCCCTATAAGAAAACATTACAAAATATAACATTATCCTAGCCCCCAGCCTCATCATTAGAAACTTAGGCTGCTTCCATGAATTTTAATAACGGGGCCTGGTTTCTATTTTAAGGTAACCACGTTTGTTTCAACAAAGCAAAAGGTTAAATATTTTTGGGACAGCATAAGGGAATTCAATTTTTTTTGGGGGGGGGGGGATGGGTATATCATTTAAACTTTAAAACTATTCACTGAACTGTATAGACTGGAGAGAAATCCAATAAACAAACAATTTTAAAGTCTCACCCAGGTCTCACCATACATCTTGACTTACCAACAATTGATTAATGTACGTTGCCATGCCAAAAAATTAAAAACAAACAAATATGAAATAAAATAAAATTTAAAGCAAGAACAAAATTGAACTGCAACATATTTACAACGTGACCTGTCTTGGAACAGAATGACGTCAACAGATCAAAGGTTTCTGATTGGTTCAAACGTATACAAATTAAAGTCTTTATAAATGCAAACCTAAATCAGTGATTCATCACTGAGCTCTAAAAACAGTTTCACTGTGGTGTCGTTAAAGTTCAGTTTTAAAATAAGTAGACTAAACTCCTTTGGGAAATAAGTGAAAGACGACAAACAGACTCATTTAATGTTTTCTACGAGAAACTGAGGCGGGTTTCACAGCAGCATCGAGATTGACACTACTTCCGGCATTGATTCGCACTTCACAAAAATAAGCAGCAAATAAATCGAACGAACGCTGGATAATCTTGTTGGACTTTGGATGCGAAAAGATTCAGTGGACGACAATCATTCGTATCCAAGCATTAGTACACCTAGGAGGCACTTCGAAACACTGGTACGTACAAGTCTTCTTCATTATAAACTAGAGAACTGACTCTCTATTTATTCCCGGGTTTATTTCGATGTTTAATACATTTTATCATGCATGTTGCCTGCTACGTTCGCTGGTGATGACAAAGGAAATCCGTATACACACAAACTAATAAAAACACTGCCTTTTTCCGGGTGCTGGAGAGAGTACGTTATTTTGAGAAAGGAACATCAATCAATTAAGTCGAATAATGTAGACAAGTTACCTTTATTGTTCCAAATCGTTCTTGGGGACGATTCTTCATACGATTCGTCATATAATAGACCTTTCCACGGATTTTTTCAACCTTTTGGCATGGACAAGTTAAGGATGATCCATCACGGCCTCCGCTGGAAAAAGCGCCTTTCAATTTCAAAACTGCCAAGTTTGAATACAAAGTCATTTGTTGAAAACTAGCCTAGACTGATAGCCCCCTCAAAGTCGCGAAAATTTACAGACGTCTGTATGGTGGGGGGAACAAACTTGCCCCCCTTCATACAAACGACTGTAAATTTTCGCAGCTTTCCGACGCTACAGTGTATATTTCGCTAGTTTAGACGTATATCGCTTTCATACTTGGCAAGTTTTCCGTAACTGGTCCATGTCAAAAGTTTAAAAACCGTTAAAGGGGCTATTTACCACAGGTGAAAACTGAAATGCACTAGGTTCCCAGCGTCTCAGTGTACGAAGCGGTCATATTTATATTTCACAGTGCAGTGTATAGCGGTAATTGAATAACGTTTAAATAACTTATCATGAGAATAGTTATAAACTGGGCATTTATTGGATGCATATCCTTTTTTAAAAGTCAGAAATTTAGCTTTTCTTTCTCGGCGAGTAAGATGAAATTTTGAGAATGGTTGAGGTATTTATTTGCTAGGTTCATAGGGCATTTCCCTGCATGTCACTCTACCAAAATAAAGAATAAAAATCAGAAGATGAAGTTATTTGTTACTTCTTGATGGTAATGACCTTATTGCATTTTCGTCGTTATTTGCAATCCTTACATATACTTTTACATCAGAGTCTAAAAATTAGCCTAGTGAAGTCAAACCTGTATATAACGGTCAGTCACCTTGCCATTTTCCCAAGGATTACCGTTCTTCGTTATAAATTCGCGGTTTAGGAATTGAATATGTTAAAAGACCGATTTTTTCGTTACTTTAAGTACTGTGACTCCCGTCACTTTAATGCTAGTCTACATGTCTAGGTTTATATAGAACTCACATTTTATTGTCATAGTACCAGTACATAATCAGTCTGCTGTCCTGATGCTGACACAACATTCACATATTTAGGGTTAAGGACTTATACCGATTGTTTTCAAAAAGAATTGTACAAATTCTTTTGTGATAGGTATTAGAAAATGGTATAAGACCTCGTGAAGATACCTTCGATGGCCCAGACGTCGACTCTCTAGGATGTGATGACTGTTTGCTCAGTGGTCCGCATGAGGACTGCGAGCCACAAATGTTATTCAAAAAGGTACATTGCATTGCTCACAGCTAAAGTTTTCGATGTGGCTAAAAAACCCTGATCTATGGCATTTTTTTTGTTGAACATATAGGTCTTTTCCTTCATATTTGCTAGGCAGAAAATCGCCATCAAACACTTCGCTGTCATACCGCCTCAAAGCACACGAAAATCGTATCCGAATCCATCAACACACGGTCATACACCTTCACACGGTTTTGCCAACTTTTGAAAAAAAAAAAACAGCAGGCGAAAAATGATCGAAACCACCGGAAAATGAGCCTTGAAATCCATAACGTTTGCTTACTTTGATAGTGGTATGTTGACAGCTAACAAAGATATGGTTCGGCGAAGACACAAAATTGTACATGTGGACAAACGTAACTTCCGTCTATCGTTCACAAGTTCTTACGGGCCATCTCGTGTGGAACACCCCTGTGAAATTCAGTAGCGCATTTGCGGAGATATAAGTTTGCTCGTTTCTAACAAATTCCTCTCTAAAGCTGTTAAGTTCTCTTTTTAGTAGTGTGATGGATTTTTTGGTCTGTTTGGCTAATTTAAATCAAGGGCCTAAGGGGCCCCGTTTTAATTCGAGCAAAGTAAGACAACTAGTGTGGTCGAAATGTGTGTGAAGAAATTAGTACATCAGACGTAGGGATGATTTCAGTTCAATGATTAGACTGGATAGGACTTATTACTGGTAATAATTAAAACAAAAATGCAGAAAAAGTTTCATTTGAAGAATTAACTGGCACAGAACATTTGACTTCACAAATCATAGCGAAATAGACTGATCTCGGCTATAAGATTTTACCGGCCGTTGCGGCGACACGCACAATTACAGTAAAATATTACCGAACTTTGTCGAACAACCAACAGTGCCCAAAAATGTTTTTCTTGATTTGGATACACTAGCCCTAGTACTGAACAGGAATAGTGACCAAGACTCCAGATAATGTCAGACAAAAAAGCTCATTTTAAAACAAGGATAACCACGCATTTTTTTCAAGGATGCTTTACGTGGTATTTTCAAAACATCATAACTCCTTTTTTTAAAGTCGGAATTTAAATATTTTGCCATTTTTGAATAAAGGAAGCATGAATTAAAATCATACTTTTGTTTTATGCTATTTGGAAATGCTTTTTGGAAATGCGAAATTTTTGCGAGCTTTGAACAAACGCTTAAATTTGACCTTCAAAAAGACGATCATGACAGCTTTGGACCGTCCAGGCAAATCGCCGCCCAATTTTTTTTTTAAAAAAGCATTATGAGCCAAACAAATTCGATTTTTGTTAATAGAATGGACTCATTATGTCGCAGGAAAAAAAATGAAGGAATATTGTTTTCAACGGAAATTCGAGTGGTCGGTTCTTACACGGACCGCCTCTTAAGTTTCATGTGCCCTGTTTAAATTCCGCCACAGAAAGTAACTCATTAAGACATTATGCAAATGAAGTTAATATGTAGTCCTATACTTCACTTAAATCTTATCGTCCGCTAAGATTTTAAGCAGAGTCACTTCAGTACTTCTTGTTTTTGCTTTTTTTAAAAAAGGAAATTCATTAACATTACAAAGATCTGCAAACTTCGTGACTTCGTATGAACACAAGTTCAGTTTTTAAAGGGTTTACCTACCGATGCCTCTGAGTTCCTGAAGTACAAGTAGCGGTGCATGGCGTTCTCTCGGTCGTCATCGTAAAACTTCTGCAGCGTAAAAATTATAAAATGAAGTATTTAACGAATAAAGGCCCAAACAGTAGGTTTTCGAAATATCGGAGAACTTTATCACACTTCTGCTAAAAAAATTTTAAGGGACTTCGACTTCTCGGCTTGTTATCTTTCGAATGCAGAGATCGGTGCTCTGTCAAGTCATTTATGTGCACAGTTTCCACTTCATAGCCTTTTCTTTCGATTGGATGAAGCAAACGTTCTTGCCTTTTGATTGGCCCATTGCGACAATATGTGTAATTTCAGTATTGTTTGGTTAGGGTGATGCGTCATCTGTCATCCAACCGAACTTTTTTCATTCGCAGAAAGAGGTTGCCTGCGTGCAGACGTCTCCTTTGTTGCACGCGCACGCAAGCAAAGAAAGAGGTTCCGGAAAGAGTACATTACAGATATGTCTAGCCTGCGCGCAGTCAACAATATCCACACTATATGCGACACGTGGGCCGGCTGCACCGCAGGCTAATATTGTCGCAAGGATGCCAAATGAAGCATCACGCCAACCAAACAATACTAAAACTATGGGAAGAATGCCTGCGAGAGACCTTACGAGCAGCACAAGAATTGGCAAGAGGCAGGTACAAAAGTCGGACCGGATCAACTCGGACCGTCAGTCCGGGTCGGATCAACTCGGATCGACTCGGACCAACTCGGATCGAATGAAAAAATAAAAATAGAATAAAATTGGACTCGGATCAACTCGGATCATAAAAAAAACAACTTATAAAAAGAAAAATAAAATCAGTCGGTATCACTTAAGTTTCACCCGCCATTTTGTTTTTTTCTCACGAACTCGTGGTTGCGCAAATTAATTTTTATTTTTATTTTTATTAATTTTAGTGATACACTAGTGAGCTGCACACATACACTTCCAGTGAACATTTTCAACTTGGAAGGAGGAGAAATCATGCTCGCCCGGGACAACGAAAATTTTCGTACCTAGGCGAGAATT